GGGATAGACAACAGGAAAGCTGAAACTGGGCTCACGAAACAGTCCCAACCGTCCATTCAGTGGTTCTTTGAGAACCACTGGACCAGCAGCAGCAGCATCACCTGGGACCTTGTTAGAAATGCAGATTCTCAGGTCTTACCTGAGACCTACTGAATCAGAAACTCTGGGGGTGGGGCCCTGGGATCTATGGTTTAACAGTCCTTCCAGGTGAGGATGATACCTGCTCAGCTCTGATTCCTGTTCAGTTGTGGCCGGAAGGTGGGGGCTGTGGAAAGGTGATTATAAAGTAGGCTGCGCTGAAGGACAGGCTCAGTGAAACTCCTTCAAATCCAGACTCTGCCATGTCTTAGAAGTCTTACCATGAGATCCTGGGTAGGTCACTTTTGTAATTGAATAGATATTTACTGATAACGTACTGTTCACTATTAAGGCCCTGGGGCCGCAGTGCTGGGAGAAAACAATAACAACAGCCAACATCTTTTCCCAGATTAACTCATTTCCCTTACAAGAGTCCTTTCAGGCCTGGTTCCATCAATCCCTGAATCTGGGTAAGTGAGGCACAGATGGGCACAGTAACTTGCCCCACGGCTGGTCTGAGGCAGTGCTGGGGTTTGAGCCATAGTATGTGCTCCCACAGCCAGGCACTGGGCCCCAGGGCTAGGCTGACCTGCAGCTAGTTAAGGAGATGGACAACATGCAATGCAGATGCACAACGCTGGCAAGTCGTGATGCATGCAATGAAGACAAAAGAAAGTAGGGAAGGAGGTAGAGCACTTTGGGGTCGGGGGAGATGAGTTTTATTTATTTTTATTTTTTTTAACATCTTTATTGGGGTATAATTGCTTTACAATGGTGTGTTAGTTTCTGCTTTGTAACAAAGTGAATCAGTCATACATATACATATGTTCCCATATCTCTTCCCTCTTGCGTCTCCCACCCTCCCTATCCCACCCCTCCAGGCGGTCACAAGGGAGATGACTTTTAAAAGGGTGGTCTGGCAAGGTGACCTGTGAGCAGAGACCCCTCTAAGGCAGCTTAGAGGAATTATGAGTACCCAAGTGTGGTTTGAAAATGTCGCAAAAATATTCCTGTAAAGCATAGTAGATGCTGAACAAATGGGAACTGTCGGTATTATTTGGAGAACTGAGTTCGAATCCTAACCAGCTTGGTCACTCACTAACTGTGTGTCCCATGTCCCGAGCAAGTCACTCCATCCCTCTGAACTGCAGTTTCTGTGACCTCTGGAGATGACCCACCTATGGGTCAGAGAACAGAGCCAGGTACAGTGAGGACAGTCCCTCCTCCGACCCCCACCAGCTTCTCTCCAGCCCCTCAGCAGCTCCTCTCTGAGGCAGTTGGTTCCCTGATCCAGGCTGCCCAGGAGTCCTTGCTGGTTTTATTTTTATTGCTCTGGCTCTACAGCTGAGGCCTCTAACTCCAAATGGCTCCTCTTGCCCAGAAAAATAGGTCGTTGGCAGCTCCGGCCTCATGACAGGCTCCACACAAAGGTGGCTGGCGGGCCTGTGTGCTGACGCCAAGCCCAGGGTGACGGGAAGTGAGGATCAGAGCCCACAGGGCTGGTGCCCGGCAGCACTGGGTCCCTGCAGGGTTCCTGCATGCCCTGGCAGTGACCCTGGTCCAGTTGCTTTCTGTCCCTGGGCTTGTTTCCTCACCTCTGGAGACATAGTGGGGTTGCTAAGGCTTCGAAGACATCAAAGGGCCTGGTACACACGGGGCACCATCACCCCACCTGTGGAGGCAAACTCCAGATATGCTCCCACCACAGTTGCTTTCACATTTGTGCCACCACTGACCCCTCGAGGAGGGGGAGACCTTGTTATTCCTATTTCACAGATGAAAACACTGAGGCTCATAAAAAAAATTTTCCCCAAGTCAAATGAGTCAAATAGGCAGTCTTGACTTCAAGACCCTGACCCTCCCCTCCACACACTCATTCAAATCTTTCCACCGATGCTGGGCAACAGGGGAGAGACGTGGGCTGACCTCTGGCTGCTGAGTGGAGAACAGACAAGGGTGGGAAGAAGGAGCCCAGGTGGGAGATGATGGAGGCTCAGACCCAGGTGGTAGCAGGGAGGGGTGAGGAGTGCTTTGGTTCTGGATGTGGAGGGAAGGTCCAGCCCAGGGATGTGCTGACACATTACTCCAGGGAGTGAGAGAGTTGAGGACCAATGCCTGGATGGAGTCACCTCTGGCTCCAGCTCACACTTCCCAGGTCTTTGCCCAAATATCACCTCTTCTGAGGCCTCCCCTGATGCCCTCCTCTCTCATTAGCCCTGGGCCCCTTCCCTGCTTTATTTACCCTGCAGCCTATCCCCATCCCACAGACTAGCTATTTTACAGACTGACTTGCTTGCTCCACCAGAACGTCAGTTCCTTGGGGTGGGGTTTTTGTCTGTTTTTCCCAACTGCTGCATCCCCAGTGCCCAGCCCAGTGCCTGGCACACAGCAGATGCTCAATAAACATGGATGAGTGTGTGAATGAATGAGATAGGTGCGAAGGCAGTTTTATTTTAATCTGGGGCAGCCCAAGATGCCTGCTATGAAGGGGGCTGATTCACCTCAATTATCTGCCATAATCTGTGTGACCTCAGGCAAATTGTCCCCCCACCTCAGTATATCCAGCTGCCCATTGGTCTCAATGACCTCCCAGCCCTGACAGTCAGCCACGGGTGACTTTTATGTGGATGCTGGGTTAGGAGAACAAGGCCAGGGCCCCCACCTGGGGCGGAGGTGAGGGTGTTGGGAAGCCCTGCTGAGCGCTCTGGCCTAAGGTGCTACATAGAAATAGCAGCTGGTTCCACTATTATCCTTCCCTAATCCGCAGTTTCCTAATCCTGGGCAGGTGTGTGTGTGTGTGTGTGTGTGTGTGTGTGTGTGTGTGTGTGTACAGTGAACAGCAGAGCCTTCTGGAAGCCCAGGCCAGAGGCTGCCTCATCTCTGACCTTCAGTAGCGGCCCTGGCCCCCACTTCCACCCAGATGGATTCGGGGGATGGATTTTCCCAGAAGCCCCACTGGTCACCTTCGTGGTCTCAGTTACATGTGGCCTTGAACAGTTAGAGACTCCCTACCCTCACCTCAGATACTAGGAGGATCCCAGAAAAACTCCTCACTGGTGTCCTGATTCCACACTCCCTGCCCTCCAGCCCACTCTCCACTTATAGCCAGACTGGCCTTTTAAACACATAAGTCAGACCATGCTTAACACCCGCCAACGATTTCTTTCCTGCAGAATAAATGCAGGCGCTTTACCAAGGCCTGCAAAGCCACCCAGCTGGGCCACTCTCCCCCATCCTTCACTCGTTCCCCTCCAGCCAAGCTGGCCCCTGGGCCTTTATATGTGCTCGTCCCTCTTCCTGGAACAAACCCCCAAATCCTCACTTTGCTGCCCCTCTTGGTGATTCAGCTCCCAGCTTCTCGGGAGGCCTTACCCTTATCTAAATGAGTGTACCCTTCTCACTGTGTAAGCTCGACCTTCTGTTGTTCACTAATTATTTCTGCTTGTCTACCTATCTGTCTCCCCACTAGAATGTAAATTCCTTGTGGACAGGGACATGGTGTGGGTCACTGCTGTACTCCCCCACCCAAAGAAAAGAAAATCCCCTTGCACTTCAAATACTGCCCAGGTCCCTGTGGGTTCCCAAGGACTGCTGTCAAATGCTTGACTTATTTAACAGATGCTATGTGGCACTTGGTACATGCCAGGCACTTTTTAAAGTGTATAAATATTAATTCATCTAAACCTCACACCAGTCTTTTTAGGTTGATACTCCTGTTGGCCTCATTTCAGATGAGGAAACTGAGCCACAAAAATGACAAGGTGTTTTCTCAAGTCTACACAGCTCACAAGAGGTGGCTGGCAGGATTTGAACCTAGGCAGCACCCTGCCTGCCTCCTTGTCTTAGCATCATACCAGGACCAGGCACTCGACAGGGAGGCTGGGGTAGGGTCTGGGGAAGCGGGGGAGAAGTGGGGGCTGTCACTGTACAAAGATCTTTAGTCTGGGAATCAGAAATTCAAATCTGGTTTCTACCCAGGCCTTGCTGTGTGGCCTTGGGCAAGTCCCCTCCCTCTCTGAGCCTCAATCCCCACTCAGTTCATAGAACTGGCCTTTCTCCCACCTTGCTTCATATCTTCCTAATGGCTTTTTGAAGCCAAACGGCTATTGTTATTTACAGTTACCAGAGGGTCTTGGTCTCCCTTCCCTCCCACAGTCTGGAGCCTTCTTTGGCCAGGTGACCAGAGGATTCCCACCTGCTATATCTGGCCTGGCTGCTATTGGGTACACAGCTTTCCCTCAAAGAAGGGGAGAAACAGAGAGAGAGATTGAGAAAGGGAGAATGGTTGCTTTTTTCTCACCAGCAGGCTCTGTCCTGCCTCCAGGCCTCTGGCCCCTGCTTTCCTCCCATCCCCTCATCTTCCTCACCGCCGGCCATCTTCCTGAAGCCCAGGCCTTCAAGTTCCCCCTGGCCCCGCACCCCTGCCTGGGCCTTCCACACCCCTGAATCAGCCGTCCTTGACAGAGAGGAACCTCGCTAAAATAGCCCACCTGCCCAGGGAGGCCCGGACCCTTCCCTTCGGGTTTCCTGGCCACAGCCCCTCTTCTACTCCCTCTCTCCCCGCGAGCTTTTCCAGGCGGTACTGAAGTCCTTCCTACACACACGCTATTTTTGTACCATCACTCTCTCCTTCCTCCCCCCTTCCCCCTACCTTCACTTACTTCCTGCTTTTCCTTCACCTCGGCCCAGCTCTGAAAGAATCGGGGCCCCTCTGGCCCTCACCCACCCCGAGAGGGGCCTTCGGCTTTGGGGCACAGGAGCAGGGCCACTGGGGAGGGGCGAAAGGCAGGCTCCCCCTTCCTTCACTCCCCCGCTCCTTCGCCGCCTCCAGCCTCCCGCGGCCGGAGTCCGGAGGCTAGGGGAGGCCGGCCGCAACTTCCCCAGTCCACCTTAAGAGGACGATGTAACCGGCTCGCGGCGCTGACCTTAGAAAAACAAGTTTGCGCAAAGTGGAGCGAGGGGCCCGGGCTCTGGGCAGCCCCGGCGGCTCTTCCACCGTCTCGCAGCCCTCGCCGGCCCGGCGGCGCAGGTCCGAGCTCGGCTGGCCGAGGGAGGGGGCGAGGGGGAGGCGGTTCGGGCCCGGGGCCGCCGCGCGGGCTTCTGAACTGGCATATTGTCGGAGCCCGGGCTCGTCCAGTCCTGAGCCGAGCGGGGCGCCCCCGGCGGGGGCCGCAGCCTGGGCCCGGGCCGGTGTGCGGGGGTGCCGGGGCCGCGCGCGCCGCCCTCCCTCCCGGGGCGCGCAGCCGGCGGGCGTTCGGCTGAGGTGCCGGCCCGGCTGGAGCCCCGCAGCTTCCCGCGCGGCCGGCGGGAGGAGGGGGAGGGGAAGGAGGGCGGGGGCCGTGGCCGGGACTGTGGGCCAGAGGAGGCGAGCGGGCGGCCGGGCCCGCTGCCCCTCGCCCTGCCCTCGCGTCGGTCCTCCCTCTCCCGCGCTGTCTCGATCTGCGCGCCGCCTCGCTCACTCCGAGCTCGCTCGTTCGCTCTCTCTCTCCCCCTCTCTTGCCTCTCTGTGTCTCTGGCTCTCTGCCTGGCTCCCTTGGGTCTGTTTCCCTCTCCTGCCGCTTCTTTCGGGCCGTCCCTGGCTTCGTTTCTCGCGTGCTTGGGGTCTCTCCCCCTCTCCGCCTCTCGATCTCTCCGGGGGGCGGGGGGGTTCTTCGAAAATCGCGGCGCTGACGGCGGCTCCTAAGCCGTTCCAGGCGCCCGTACCGGGGAGGCCCGCCCGAGCGCGCACTCACGGCCGCTCTCTCTCCTCGCTCCGCAGCCGCGGCCCATGGAGCCCGCCCGCCCGGCCCCGGGCCGCCTCAGGCCGCTGCTCTGCCTGCTGCTCGCTGCGTCCAGCGCCTGGTCAGGTAAGCACCCCCACCCCCCACCGCTGCCGGCCCCAGATTGCGGGTTCAGGCCTCTCAGACCGCCACTCGGCTAATGTCGAGCAGTATGGGGGAGAGGTGCCCGTAACCAGGGTTACAGATGCGGAAACTGAGGCCCAGAGAGGGATAACGACTTGCCCAAGGTCACACAGCCAAGGATGGAACACAGTCTCTCTCGACTCTGACTGTGCGGCACTATGCTGGGCACCAGGACAGACCCAGATGAGTTGGTTCACCAGCCCCTGCCCAATCTGTTGGCGGAGGCAGGCTGTCAGAAGCTTTAAGAGCAAGGCGCCCCTGGCTTCTCTAGAAGCTCTTATGTTTCCCACATGTTTGACTTCAGGGTCTAAGAGAAGGGGCAGAGGTCCTTCCAGTACTGACGGGATGGAACAGAAAGGAGCAGGCTGTTGCAATTAGGGAAGAGTGAGCTATCCCTCTTGTGCGCAGAGTAAAACAGTGTTAGTATGGGGGAGAGAGAGGAAGGGAGGCCAGGGTAACCCTGGGGTGAGCTGCTGCAATCCACAGATCCTGATGTGGAAACACAGCGGATTGTCCCCGTGGTTGCCAAAGCCTCTCGCTGGATGGTCGTGCTCCCTGCTGCTCTCCGGCCCCTCCTCCTTCCTCCTCCCTTCCCCAGGCTTCCAAGCAACTCCCTGCAGCTCAGGTGCTCTGTGGGGCTGTTACCTGTGGCTCTGAGCACGTCTTTTTGTTGGCCTACATCAAACACCTGGCTGTATCCAGCAGGCGGGCTCAGAAGTCTACCGTGTGTTCGCCAAGGGGTGAGGTCACCATTCAGGAGCCCTGCTTCTTAAAGGGGTTTTGCAGCACCCTGAGTATCCTGGGAGGGGGTGCGGGGTGGAGAAACTGCGTTAAAGGAGTTGTTGGAGAGAGAATGGGGATCTTGTTTTCTTGGCTCCTTGAAGCTGTGTTGTCAGCAGAGGGGTCTCTGCACCTCCCCTCCCCTGAGGAAGGAGGTAAAGATGAGCTCAGTATGCACCTCCCCCCTCCTGCATTTGCCTAGAGACTGGTAACCATCTGATAGCAGAGTGAGAAATGGAGAACTAGCAAACAGTGGGTGGAGGGAGTAGTGGGGGTGGACAGCAGCTTCTCTCTGCCCCACAGTTTCCCCTGAGCCCCAGAACCCACGCAGGCATCCCCCCACCTCCCCTCCCCCAGTCTTTCAATTACAGTTGGGTCCTCGCTGGACAAGAGGAAGCCCTGATAGATTTCATGGCTCTCTGGTGAGCCGGTGGCATCTCTGATCTACTCCTTCCTGCCTGAGCCGGCCATTTACACCCAGCAAAAGTCCGAGGCCCTGCCCTGCCATCCTTCCTGACCTGGAAGTGCACGAGGGTCTCTCTCAAGTGTTTTCCTGAAGCAGGGAACTGGGCCCAAGTTAATTTCTAAATGTCTATTCCAGACCCTTCTCTAATGAGGACCCCGTGGTTCCATCCCTGGCAAATGAGGGGTGATGCTGATTAATGAGTGGGCAACTGCCTTTCCCAGGGCTACCTGGGAACACCAACACCCTTCTCGGGAGGAAATTCTCCCCCTTTTGCCTATACAAACAATCTATAAAATGGTAAAGTTTAGGCCATAAAACTTCTGTTCCAATCCATTCAGCATCAATAGCCTGAAAAAGTGGGAGCAGCAGACAGGCAAAGATTAACTTTGAAATAAATAAATCTTAGGAGGTAAGAATAAACTTTTTGGTTGAGGGTGGTAGGGAAGGGGTGTCACCGCCAGAGCTCAAGCATCCCAGCATCTTTCACTCGGTTCTACGGGATCCTGGTCACCCTCGCCCGTGGCATGGAATTCACCTGGTTTGGCTGAAGGATGGATCTTCAGACCCTTCTCTCAGGGCTCCAGGCATGGACTTTATGCCCTGGACTTTATGAAGGGCAGGAAGGTAGAAGGAGGCAGTTGTCCAATTTTCTAAGAAAATGGATTTGTTTGAGAAACTCAAATGTCAGGCTTAGGAAGGCAGCTTTGGATTGAATGACTACTAGTGTCTCTGGCAGAACTGTCAGCCTGGGAAGTGTCACATGATTGCTACGGCTTCACATGATCACTGTTTGGAGGGGGCTGGTCATGTGAATTATCTTGGTTGGGGGAGACAGGGAAAGAAGTTTCTAAAGATTGCTTTCAGCACAAATGCTGCCAAAGGGAAATTCTGAAAAGAGGCTGGTGAAGTCACCAACCTGTGTTCTTGGAGCCAACGTGAGGCCTGTTTCCTCAAACAGCTTCACCGAGGGAGATTGTGAGGCTGGCAGAAGGGCAACGGGCCGGGGTGGGGACAGCTGGGCAGCCGGATTCTGCAGCACAGCCGCGGTGCCTGACACTGAGCCTGCAGGCTCCTCTCTTGGCCCCACCTAGGTCTGGGGACCTCTGGGACCCCTGCTGAGCAGACTTCAGATAAACCCGCATTCACTCCTCGCTCTGACTTGGCGAAGGCCAGGCCAAAATGGGGGTGAGGCTTTGGGGGACAGCTGGCCCTCTGCTGACCCTCTCATCTGTCAAAAGAGGGTAGCATGCTGGTGACTCCTCTGTACTTCCCTAAGTGGTGAGGTTCATCTCACTTCCTCTTTCACAAGGAGAGAAAAGGGGGCGGAGTGCTTCGGCCCCAAAGAACTCAGTCTGTGGAAGGTCCTTTAAGGCCTTGGTGTTCTCTGGGTACTTTCTTGCCATTAATTATTCCTTTACCAACCCCGTGGAGACGCGTGGTGTGACTCATTCCTTTACTTGCTGTCATCCAGCACAGCACGTATGAAGTCCTGATGGGAACCGTGTGTTGAGAGAAGCGAGGAGAACCAATGTTACCTGTATTCCAGGCTGTGTGCTGAGCGCCTCATCTGCGCAATCCCATCAGTCAGCAAAGCAAAGCATGAGTTGGCTGTTAGCCCCATTTTTCAGATGAGAAAAATGAAGTCCAGAACTGGGGAAGTAACTTGTCCAAGCAGTAAGTGGTAGGGAGCCTGGATTTTGAATCCTGGCCTCATGGCTAGGCAGCCTTTGAGGGAAGAAATTCAGTGACTTAATCAGGGTTACTTAGTCCTAGCTGAAGAGAACCAGAGGGGGCCCCACCCAGCTCAGACAGAGGTTTGTGGAAGGGTTCCTTCTGAGACAGAAGTTGTTAACTGAGCCATGGTCATTTCTCTGAAAGCGCCCAGAGGATGCAAGCACTGGCAGCCCCTTGGTCCTCCTAAACGACAGCTCTGGGAGCAGCGTGGCTCCCGTCAGAGCCCCCGATCTGGACTGCCGAGCTCTGGAGGCCCCAGAGCTGGAATCTTCCTCCCTGCATCTTCCTGGTGCCCTTTGCGACAGATGGAGAGGGGGTGTGTGAGAGGAAGGCAGTCTAAAACTGTTGTACAGATCCCACACACGCTCGCTTGCTGCTTCCAATGGCTCCGTGCGACAGATTATTTTCTTATTTGTAGTCCTGGACTGATGGAAGGTGCCCCCCGCTCCGCCTCTTTTTAATGTGCTCAGATTTCTGGTCTGTCAACACAATTCTAATCATGTCACTCCCCTGCTCAAAACTGTTGAGTGGGTCCAAGTTTTCTTTTTTTTAAAAAAAAACCTACAAGGCCTGGGCTCCCTCCCTGACAGGCCCTATTCCTCAGCTACATGTTTTCCAAAGAGCTGACCTGTCGAGATGCTTCTAAACGACCAGGCTTCCTCCCTGCAGCCAAAGCTTTCCTGGCAGCTCAAGTGCATTGGCACCTAAGAGACCCTGAGAAGGCCTGCAGTTGTAGAAGCCCCAGCCAGACCTTGTTTACTCCAGGGTTCCCCAGACATACGAACAAGAAGCATTGGGTTTGTTTAATGCCCATTAACACGCGGCCTAACCCAGTTTGGTAAATGCCTTTGTAGAAATCCACACCCTCAGCTGAACTTTCTCATCTCTGTGCCTTCACTTATGCTGTTCCTGCCACCAGAGATACCCTTCCCTGTACATCCCTATCTTCATATGTCCAAATCCTACTCAGCCTTCCACTTGTGCTGCCTCATGTTCCATGGGATCTCTTCCTCCTCTGAACGTTCACCCCAGGATTTATCTAAAGCTACTTATCACTTTCCCCTTGCTTTATCACATATGAGTGCACGTTTAACTCTGGTTCACATAGTGGTTCTGCATTGTAGCCTCTCCATGTACAGACACAGCATACCCTACTTGGACAATTTATTGAGCTCTGTGTTTTGGTTTCCTCACCTGTAAAATGGAGTTGACATCAACAACTGTATTTCAGACACTAAGTCAGCCAACCCATGTATAACGCTTGAAGCCATGCCTGGCAGGTAGTAAGCGCTCAGTACCAGTTTACTGCACATTACGTTCAACCAGTGTTGTAATCGTCATTGTTTCGTTCTGTTGGGTATTCTCATCTATGGGAGTGGGACTGATGTTGGAAAGCACCCAGCACAGCTCCTTGCACACAGTAGGTGCTCACAGAACAACAAAAGCTGTTGAGAGTGAACATGAGATTAGCATTTTTCCCTGTGGCTTTTGTGCAGTTTGGGAGGACAAGTTGCGCAGAAACCGACCAGCTGGTGTGATGGAATAGTTACTGGGACTGAGCGCCCGCCATGGGCACAGCCTGCCTCTAGGTGTCTCTGTCCGGATCCACAGGGCTGGAATTGTCGATTCCTAGACCATGAAAGCAGGAGGGGGCCTGAGAGAGCCATCAGTCAGCACCTCTTTGTGCAGCTGAGAAAACTGCAGCCCTGATGGAGGAAGGGACCGGCCAGGCTCACACAGCAGGTCCCTGGCAAGGCCTGGGTGGCATGCCAAGCCCCCTGTCATCCAGGCCAAGGCTCTTTAAAACTGAGCTGTGCTGGAAGTTTCCATCGTTAAAGCTAGAAATCTGACAGGATCCCAAATTCCCTGGAAAATACCAAAGTAATAATAAAGGGAAACATTGTTTCTGGCCACTTACTGGGCTCAGCACTGGGCATGTATGATCCCAGTGGGACTCACAGTT